ATTATTAGCATGGATCAAAAATATTTTCGTTTTTTAGAGACATTTTCTTAAGTTTATTTTAGTGTCCATATCTAAACACTATGGATGAGTTCACTGTATTACCTAAGTTTTGCCTTTTCTTTCAGTCTTCCTCTTCTTTTATTATTATTATTATTATTATTATTATTATTATTATTATTTGGATGGATCAAAAGTATTTTCGTTTTTTAGAGACTTTTTCTTAAGTTTATTTTAGTGTCCACATCTAAACACTATGGATGAGTTCACTGTATTATTAATATTGTTTATTTAAGCATTTACAAGTTCATACTATGCATGGACATCTCTGAAAATTGCGCACCTTCCCCACTATCCTCACAGACTTTACCGATACCGTGGTCTGTAAAGTCTCAACTCAGTCAATATACTTATCTAATTCAACTAGGTTTTTAACAAATTTATTTTCGTTTTACAGATAATGAATGCGAAAGCACGCCTGAAGCATATTTTTTTTTTAATTTCCGACCCGCACTGCTTACTAACTGTCGTCGACGACGTGACAATGAGAAAGTAGCAATAAAATGTGCTAAAAATAAAACGAAAATTAGTAAAAAAATATTTGTTCAAACTCGTTTATTGGAAAAAGGATAATGAACATGCTACTCATAAACGCATTATGACGATTCGAATGAAAATGATTAAGATAAAGATACGCAAGGTACGCAATTCAAGTTAACTTGAATTGCATTGTGCTTCGGTTACAGTAAAATTTAATTCGAACTCAGTATAAAACAGCAAATTAGAACTAGAATCGACTAGCATTAAATTGAATGGTTTACTTAGAAACTATATTTGTGCAGATTATTTCTAAGTTTACTATACTGAAGCACCCAGAGAGAATCCAATTTAAGCGCCATGCGAAAAGTCTGTGAAAATAACTATACGATAAGAGTTACTTAATATAGTGATAATAAACTTTTTTTTTCTTTTTTTTTTTTTAACAGAATTTCACTTAATATAAAGCTAGGCCGTCCTGGGTATGACAATAAACTACATCCGTGTCCTGGGCATGACGATAAACTACGTCCAACAGCAAGGCTTCTGATCAGGAAGTTTTCAGGAGCGGTGAACTACCTCCAAATTGCTGGTGTTCCCACGTTCACCCTGACCCGGGGTGGTAGTACCTGTTAGGGTCTCAGCTATGGGAAAATAGTTAAATCCCAAACTGTGGTCAAAATACTATAAAAGTGTAATAATAGGTTTTAATACCACAAATACTTTGTAAAAAATTATTACCAGCAATATATTATTACCTGCAATACATTTTTAAAAAAATATTACCAGCAATACGTTTTTGAAAAAAAATATTACCAGCTATATATTTTTCAAAAGAAAATATTACCAGCTACAAATTTTTGAAAAGAAAATATTACCAGCTATACGTTTTTGAAAAGAATATATGACGAACTATAAAATTTTTAAAAATATTACCAGATATACATTTTTGAAAAAAGAAATATTACCATCTATACATTTTTTGAAAAAAAATATTACTAGAAATAGATTTCCGAAGAAAAAAATATTGCCAGAAATAGATTTTTTGAAGGAAAATATATTACCAGAAATAAATTTTTGAAGGAAAAAATATTACTAGCAATGCATTTTTGAAAAAACTTACCAGCAATAAAAATGTTGTCGGCATTAAATAACCCATTGAAATATCGTAAACCAAACCAAACCAAACCAAACCAAAAGCTAGGGAGCCACTCAAGTTAGAGGCTTATAAACAAAATGATGAATGAAACGTGATATAAATAGAAGAGAATTCTGTAGGCAGTGAAGCACTAAAATCAGTAAGCAAGTCACTAGATATGAGCGTAAGTTCTATGATAATAATTCTTTTTCTCGCATTTCTGACTTGCGAAACTCTCTTCCTGTTTCTTGCATCTCTAACAATTACGATCTTTGAAATCTTAAATGCAACATAAATCCCCATATTCTGTCTTCCAGAATCCTGTTCTTTTATTTTTATTTGTTTTTTTTTTATATCTATGTTTTATTTTTTTTACTAAAGTCTTCTCATTCTCTTTCACTCACAGGAATCCCCTTGCGTCATAATGGCATTATCGCCTTGTTTGGGCTCAATTGATTAAAAAACAGTTTTCAAAGAGGTTTTCAAGAAAATGGACACGTTCTACAGTTTCTTTCTTAACAGCTTTTTTTTTTTCTGTAGTTTGGAATGTCAACATCTTGATTCCATCATTATTTTCCCGTCTCGTTATCTATTTTAGTTGTTGCTGCTGTTAAAAGTCTTCAGGTGATGCGTCTTTGTTATTTGCTAAAGCGCTTTGTAACGACAAGTCTATAACGTCTGATAAAAGAATTGTCTTCTTTAAGACCTAGAGAATTCTTTCACTTGAATATATTTTAATCATTGATCTTAGAAAACGGATTTATATAAGCGATAGTTTAGACATCTCGCTTGTGGAACTCTCTTCCGGCTTCTCGCTTCCCCGTCAACTTTGATCTTCAAAAATTTAAATGCAACAACAATATCTTCTCTCTTTTTAATTCTTATTCATTTATTTTCCTCTCTTTTTAATAGTAGTTTTTTTTTCATATTTTCAAACACCCAGTAACCTTTTGCATCCTAGTAGCTTTATTGCCTTACTTGGGGTGAAATAATAATAATAATAAAAACATTTCCGAACGAGTTGAACAGCATACATGAAATCCACATCAATCTAAATCGAGATTTTAGGCTAATGTCTTGTCTTTTGGAGTATCTTATGGTATTCAACAAAAAGAACCCCGGTTACTATCTATTCTCTATTCAATTGCATTTTCCTCTATACTGAATACTAGCAGCATGGCCCGGCGTTGCCCGTGCTTGATTCAAAAATCGTACGACTCATACAGCAATCGCTATCACTTGACTTAAAATATTTTTTGCATTTCCTTGCCTTTAAAGGAGTGCCCTTTGCCGTGCTGATGTTGCTACATGCCTTACTTCGTGCCTATCTCACACTGCAAATTTTTTTCTAAGCTCTATACTAAACATTAAATCTGTTACGAAAAAAGAACTAAACAAAATGAACACAAAACGATCAGCTTTAAAAAAGGACACGTAACTGGAAAAACCGAATGAAAAAAGAATGTTAACAACAAATACTTTTTCACACCCAACCCAGTTCTGCGGAATCAGAATCAACGTTGAGTTTAAGCAAGCGAATGAGCCAATTGGAGTAAAGTGCCATGCAGATTTAATTTTTTCCCACTTGTGACGAATGCGGCTATCGATTTTTTCTGCATGTCGGTCAGCTGTTGGCTCTCACGCTGGCCAATAGAATCTTCCTGCCTATTCGTGGCAACCAGCTGTAGGCTCTCACACTGGCCAGTAGAAAATGGCCGCAAACTACATGAAAACTGCCGTAGAAGCATGAAAAAATCGGTTATTTCCACTATCGATGGGAGTTGGGAAATGCAAAGTCGGTCTTGGCCTTCCCGCTAACTTGGAGCATGTGCATGTAAATTTTGGTGCAAATCCCTCGAAAATTGCGGCCGTGCATTCGTTACACACACACACACACACACACACACACACACACACACACACATCCTGCTTTTTATAGATAGAGATACACATCAGTGGGTATAACATACAAGATATTACTTATAATAAAGAATTATGCGAAGAATTAACACTTACTTTTCGCAGTTAAATATTTCATCATCTCGAATATAACGTTTTTCTACTGTTAGCTTGTATAATCCGAGCTAGCCTCGGGGACAAGTGTAGGGTTCATTATGTACAACTGCGCTAATTATAAATTAATATAGAATAGATAAGAAATATTCATGAAATTATTTCCTTACACTGATAAAATACTGTCATTTTCTATCGCCACCGGCTGGGAGTATTGAGCAGATTTTAATTATCTATATTTTCTTATAGTTTAATTAATTCTTATTCACAAGAAAATGGCGTCTGATCGAGCAGTCAATTTCACGACGCATAAAGAGCAAGAAAAGGAATCCTTTGTCGCCTTTTCGACATCACTCAAAGAAATATTGTGTTCGAACTTCAGAAATAATTCTCTCATTTTCCACACATTTTCCCCAATATCTGTCTATATTTCTGAGATGAAGTATCATGTACATTATTTATATTATTCGGACTATTGTCCTCATCTTTGGGGTTCAGTTCGACATTCCAATCACCTGAAGAAGGCCGGAGCGTAAAACCGCCGAAACGTTGTAATAAATATAGCGACAAAGATGAGGACAAGGGTCCGAATAATGTAAATAATGTACATTTTCCCCAGTTATCTTATAGATTCGGCGATGTGTGGGTAGCGTAATCGTTATGGGTGCCGAAAATGGAATCGAAGAGAGGGATTCAGATTTCTACGAAGACTGTTACCATTGGGAAAGGTATTGGTTTCGCTTTTCTCTCAAATAGCTATAATCTAAATAAAGGGATAGACTGGACACTCTAGGAGAAAAAATATTCTTAATCATGGAGAAGGTTACGAGAAAACAATTACCCATCTTTCTCAGCAAGTCATAGCTGTTCACAATAAAGGCACGAAATTGGCGGAGAGTCATAATCATCTAAGACCCGAAGCGATGCAGTAATCCTAAAAATTATGAATTCAGTTCTTAATTATTTATACTTATGAGTTGATGAGTAGGAAATTTTGTTGTTAAATTTGCTTTAGCGATTTGAAAAGTTTTCTTTTCTTCTCTGATCGAATTGACTTTTTATCTTCTGTAAGAGAGTCTCTGCTTTGAACAAAATTTCTTTCCCTCTTTATCTATTTTTATTTGATATAATTTGATGTTTTCTTTTCGTTTTCTGTCACTTTCGAATTGTCTTTCTCCTTGCTTATTCGCCATCTTTTTCGGTTTAACTTTCTTCCGACTGATCTGAGACTTTTCTCTCTTTTTCTCATTTGCTTCTTTCTTCCTTATAAATTCGCTTTTCACACTTTTTTCAACTATTTTCATTCTCCTTCGAAATGATCTATCTATCTATCTATCTATCTATCTATCTATCTATCTATCTATCTATCTATATTTGTAGTGACCATTTATCTATCAACGTCTCTCTGTTAAAGTGTTTATGACTCTTCCCCAGTTTGCGTATAAGTTGTGGCATCTCATTCTGTTTCTATCTATCTATCTATCTATCTATCTATCTATCTATCTATCTATCTATCTAGCTATCTATCTATCTATGTCTTTCAGTTCTTATCTATCTATCTATCTATCTCAGTTTGTTTATTATCTATCTCAATTTGTTTATCTATCTATCTATCTATCTATCTATCTATCTATCTATCTATGTCTGTCATTCCTATCCTATCTATCTATCTATCTATCTATCTATCTATCTATCTATCTATCTATCACGCTTTCTGTTTCGATTACAGTCTGTTATCATTTTCTTTATCTCTTCCCTACCAAGTGGTGCTGAAATGTTATCGGCCCGATCCCTTTCCTAAAATCTGACCAAATGACTAAACATCATAATTTAGGTGTGGAAGTGAAAAAAGTTTTCTGGTTGAACCGAGAACTTTTCAACACGCTCTCCTATAATTCTTAGATTATATTTTTTATTTTAGTTTTGTTTGCATATTTATGCACACCTTTTCTCTTCTCTCCATTCTCCTGTCCTTGCCTCTCTTCTCTTCTCTCCATTCTCCTGTCCTTGCCTCTCTTGGTTCCTTATATTTCCGTTCTACCATCTTACGTTCCTCCCGGGATGTTTTTTTTTCCCTGGGCCTTTAAATTTCTCTTCTTTCTCGTCGTCCCTTTTTCTTCATCCTCCCCACTCCCCACGCCTTCTTTCTACGTTCTTCGCGTCGGTCTCAACTTCCCGCCGGATGAGCTCCATCTTTTTTAATCAGCCAATTGCTCATCCGATCATTCACCCCCTCAGACCGCGCGGTTTCACAGCTCGTAAATAA